AGAAAACACATCACCATAGGCACTGAGAAGTTGGGCCAACCCGCGCCGTTCATCGGCACTCAGCGCAGCAGCACTGTCTCTATACAACGATTGCAAGTGGGGAGGAACAACTGGGAAGCTACAACTAGCTTGGAGGGGCTCGGCAGATGGAACACTAAGAGGAGACTGGACAACATCGGCAGCCTGAAGAAAACCAGCAATAGCACCTTTCTTCACTTTTACCGGAGCTGTTCCAGGATTGTATAGCCTGATGGGAATTTGCTGGTTGGGCTGCGCGTCAACCACCACTCTCACCACTAGGAGGCAATGTTTTTCCACAAAGCCTTTAGTTGGATTCAGCATGACCTCACCTTGAACTGGTTCACGGAAATGTGCATACCCAGGAACAATGTATTCACACCCGGAATCGAGAACAGTTGTGCGTGCCACCCTGACAACATGCACTTTGGGTTTGTTGTGTGGGTTAAAGTAAGGCACTTGTTCCCCGAATAGCACAATCCTTCTGCTGCCAAAGTCAAGATAAGCTTTTGATTGCTTCAGAAAAGGGTGACCAAGGATGGCTTCAGCGTTCTCTGCGATGTCTGCAACAATGAAGTTAACACTCACCGTGCGAGTGCCAATCTGAACAGGCAGGTGTACTTCTCCACAAACATCTATGTTTTCAGAACCAATGCCCTGCAGCGACTCCACAGCTGAGAACTGCAAAGGAGGCTTGACATCATCATCAATTGCGGTATAACATCGCAAAGTTAGCACATTCCTCCGGGCGCCAGTGTCTAACAAAGCACATACTTCCATGTTATACATCAGCATGTGAATGCACATTTCAGGGCCTGTACCTTTAACATGGAGGCGAGCAGGTGAACTTCTGAGTTAGCTGGCATCTTTGGTGAAGGACAGCTACGCTGCATGTGCCCAATGCCTTGGCAGTTGTGACATCTAACGTCACTCCAATTTATGTTTCCATCCTCACTTGACTTTGGTCTATGTGACTTGAAGCTAGATCTTTGGGACTTACGAATAGGCTCTACAAATGATGCTGTCTCGTTCTCGCCCTCAACTTGTTCTGCACGCTCACGAACAGTAGCCGTTCTCACTCTACGCTCTGTTGCGTGCACACCAGATTGCATCAGACGAGTAACACTAGCAGCGGCACGTTATGTTGTTTCGTACCTGTGAGCAAGCTCATAAGCTCGTGCCAGCGTGCGTGGACGCTCCTCCAACAGCCTCCGGACCATCCCAGCACTATCCATGGCGTTGGTAAACACTTCCACACCGATACTGTCTTGCTCGGCCTCAGAACGATCTGCATACACAATAGACACTTTTTCATAGATATCGTCTCTCAGCACATGTAGTAGCTCACCTGGCTTTCGCACTCTTTGCCTCAGCTCGATGCCTATGGCAGCAGCATGTTCTGAAGATGGACCATATGCAGCCTTTATTTCATCCACAATGCGCGTGTAGCTCCAGCGTGAAGACCTTGGATTTTTGTGGACAACAGCTCCTGCAGCTCCTACCAAACAGAACCTCAACTGGACAGCCATTGTCTTTTCTGACCAATGATTAGCCTCGGCACAGCTCTCAAAGCGATGTAAAAACTCCCTCTATGACCCAGTACCATCAAACTGACCTGGTCGCAGTGTAGGAATTCTCTCTCTCTGAGCTGCATTTTCACCTTCGCTGTCAGATGAAATGTCGTAATGCACACGTCTGGGCTGCCTGTCACAAGAACTGGACTTTGAATGCTTTAGGAGAACATGCTCACTTCCAGAATAAACTCCAGTGGACTTAACATCACAACGGACACATCTACAACGTGCCTGTGGCTGTACATTCTGAGTTTCAGTTCGTGGCATTTCTAGAGTGAACGGTGGAGCAGCTGGCTCTTTACATGGCACGGGATAGTAATTAGCATTAACAGGTGTGCTCTCCGTGAAAAACCTGCGCTGAGCAGAGCTGAACGGTTTAGCATGAGTTATCACACCACTTTGCAGTGTCCTCATACATCCTAAACGGATTGGTTTCTCTCATTACTTGGTGCGAGTGTGAACTTGTTTGTGCTGGTTCACATGCGCCGGTCTCAACCGGTTTATAGTTACACACTCGGTTGCCGTTTTCATCATTAACCTGCTTCAACCAGCCTTCAAATGCACTTTGTGACTGTTTACTTTCATTCACGACTGCCAGTGACATGAACGGGTTTGAGCAAGTTGTTACATTCTCAAACTTCTGGGTTGTTTTATTTTTGATAGCCGCCATTTCGTCTCTCTCGCTCCGCAACTCACTAAACACTCCGCTAGCCACTTTATTAGCCACTCGTGGACGTAACTTTACCAACGGTCCATTTCGCTTTCACAACGTTGGTTTTACTTCGGCAATCCAGTACAGTTTCGGTTTCAATGACTCACCAATGCAGGAGGAAATCCCGGACGAGCCCCCAGTGTTACCTTTTCCTGATTTCCGCCTCTCGACCGTGGTCGTGAGGCTCAGGGGAGCTGCTTCACCTGCTAGCTCCTGGGCCAGAACGGCTTCAGCTTTCCCACCCGTTCTGGGGTAATACCTAAACTTTAGTTCATTTCCACCACAAAGACGGGTCAAAGGCAGGATTACCTCGAAGTACTGGGTGTTTATTACAGACAGCTTGGGCATAACACCAAAAATAAAACCGAGTGGCCACGTTAAATAAAAGAAAAGGAGCGGAGGAGCGAGAGAGGAAACTTTACGTGCTGCTCAAGGCTGCAGCACCCGGTGACGACTACACAATGCACTACAATACCCACAATGCAATGCGTTTCCAAAGCATTAACCCTTTACATTCCCAACACAGTTCCACTGCTAGCCCCTGCTAAAAGCTTCACTTATGTCGTCATCAAGCTCAGCATTTCCTTCCTGAGGTTAAGCCCTGCCCCGGCTGCTGTGAGGAAATCCAAACTGAGTATGCACACATCCTGATTAGGTGTGAACCAAATTCATGAACTCAGCTCCGGACCCTCACCGTGATCGGGAGTCACTTCCTCCATCTCTTGTCGACCCAGCTGCCAGTGATGGACTTGAGTTATACAGCTGGTGGTTCCCAGTTGGTAGGTGTGTCACTTTCAATGTGAGGGAACATGCCTGCTTGTAGCAGCAACACAGATGAGCTGCTGTCTATAGGGGCAGTGAATTGTTTACTGTTCTATTGCATTCCACTGGATTTGACCCAAAGTCCACGGCGACAGCTGATCTTCCTGGCTATGGCTTTAAAGTTGAGGGTTGTTCTCTCTGGGGGCTGCCTGTCCATTACTGCACAGCACTGCTGCCATTTCCCCACTGGGTCAGTTTTGTGGAACTGGTGAGCTGTCCGCTCCTTCTGCACCCCCAGCACATCAGTCGCTCCACAGCCACTCACTCAGGGCCTGCTCGACAGATCATTTCCTCCTCAAATACCTCTACTGCATAGCAATGGGTTGCTTGCCATGGCATCTATATGAGAGGATGAGACCTGTCCCCTCTGCCTTGGTTACAGCCTGACAGTTGGCCACTAGCATGGGCCAACATGCCCGAAGCATCACTGAGGGACATGATCAGCATGTCATTATGTTGTTCTGATGGCAGATCCACCAAGCACCTGTAGTGTTTTCCCCTCTAGGGCCAAACTGCGGTGACAGTCACTGTCCAGGATAATGCTTGGTACCCCCTTCCATTGGGCTGTGTCTCATTCACTGCTCACCTTAGTTTTGTTATACACATGGTGTATATGGTGTTATACACATAGCAGTCCCATTTCATTCTGCTTAAAAACAAAGCAATTTGTCCATTTGAAACATTAAAATAACTATTTTGTGCCATTAGTTAACTCAAGTTGTATGTTTGTATAAAGAAGTGAATGTGAGTAAAACAAAGCACATATTCCAGTATTGACAGATTTTATTAGCTTCTCAGCATTTTCTGTCTCAGCAAGTGCAAAACTAAAGGAAGTGAATACATCTGATCAATAATTTTCTACCAGCTAACATGTATTACTTATTGTGCAATGCACTGAACACAGTCCTTTGTGTAATGCTACAAACAAAAACTCAAGATCAGTCATGCAGAGTAAATAAGAAACTGACAAGAACTATTGTTTTTTTATTAATTAAGTGAAGGACATTTAAGGTCAGTCACTGGCCATAAAAGGTAAGGCAAAATCTTATAATAAAAAGCAGCCTCTGTTCAGGCAGAACATTACTCGTGTCAAGACACCAAACAAATGCTTGTCATTTATTTAGGTTATGACTGTTTCAGTGGCTAAAACAATATAAGACTGTTAATACGAAGTATTTAAAAAATGTTTGGGTAAGAAATATATCACTGTTGTCAGAAGAAAATCTCATATCTCCAAAGTGTTAACTTCACAGAAAAAAAAAAAATCCTTAATTTTAGTGTAAGTCAATGGAACCAGACTTTTTGCAAAGTCATTTTGGGCCGATTCTTCGGGTCCAGTGATATACTACTTTGCAGAACCTTAGGCACCCAAGCAAGACGTGTAAAATCAGTTGTCTATAGCAGTTCTATATGTTATATCCTGAAAATATATTTGTATTTATTGTAATAGTAATGTTCTTTTTTGTTTTTTTTTCTGACCAGTTTAAGATGCTTGTTTAGAATTGTGCTCATGTATTGTTGTCACATTCTATTGTCAAAAAAGCAGTAAACTCTGAAATATCACAGGAAAAGGTTTAACTGCTGAGGTGTAAGCAGCTTTTAAATTCTTATTCAAGAAACAAGATGACTACACAACCAATGCTACACAACCAAAAGACACAAAAAGCTATAATTGCTGTGAAAATATATGGAAAATCTACAATTACTGGGGACAATATTGTCAATTACAATACGTGAGATATAATGTGTATAATTTGTGTACAGGTAAACAAACAGCAAACACATTCAGTTTATATTTATATGGTGCTCCTGTTTAGAAAACACATAGGTGTTGTTATGTGATTTCAGCATGGTCTGGTGAGCACAGGTGAACATTAAAAATGCTCTGGAAACAAATTAACCCGTGAAGATGAGTGCACAAATATTTTACAAGTTATGATATACTCAGCTGATGCTCTGAACCATGGATAGAAAATGGCATATATTAATGGATTCACAAAAGAGTTTGTGTATATTAACCAGATAAACACAGTCCACACCATTGATGAAGATGACAAGTTTTTATCTGTTAGAGAACCTAAATAATAAGGTATCCAGCAAGCGAGATAAACAAATATTATAATGCCTAATGTCTTCGCTGCCTTGGTTTCAGAAACATTGGAGGATTGAGCTCCGTGTCTGTTTGAGGTACCATTTGTCACAGCTTTAACAGCTCTAGCTTGACGTCTTGCCACATTAAATATGATTGAATACAAGACCAATATGACAGAGCAAGGGGTTAGAAAAAAAACTATAATGTCAACAATCACCCAGGAATATTTAACATAGATCACACACTCTCCATAGCATGTGGTGAATATTTGAGATGGAAATAAATGATAATTAGAGTACATATAGATGAAAATATACAATATAACAAAGAACCAACCCAGTATTATAAACAACAGTGTCTTACAAACTGTGATTTTCATGGAATAAAGCAGAGGGTCAGTGACAGCAATGTGCCGATCAACTGCAATAAGAACCAGGCTACAGAGAGAACCTGATGCTGACACAAAACTGACCACTAAAGACACAGTGCATGCCATTTTTCCAAGATACCAACAGGAGTCTATTAATTGCATGATATTCACAGGCATAACAAACAGTCCCACGAGAAGATCCGCCACAGCCAGAGAGAGGATGAGCAGGTTGGTTGGAGTGTGGAGCTGCTTGAAGTGAGAGATGGAGATGATCACCAGCAGGTTCAGAAACACAGTGAACACAGATATACACGAGAGAACAATGAACAGAAATATATAAGCAGGACCTGTTCGGACCTCCTTTCTGCAAGACAAGTTGTTGTCAGGAAAGCAGTATTGAATTGTGATGTTTTGTTCATAGTGTGTTTTCTCCATCTCAGTCAGATGCAAGTCTGCCAGTTGAAATGGATCCATTTGTTTTGTTCAGTATTACTGAACTGAAAGTCTTGCCTTTTGAGCATGCTTCTTTATACTTTGCTATGAATCCTCCCACTGACGTATGAGTGGCTGGTTTGTCTCTTACATCAGGCACTCGGATATTCAGTGTGATACCATTATGCAGAGCAGCAAATATCTAAAACAATCTAAAAAATGGCTGTATGTGAGTAATGGAGCTGTTCAAAATTGTAGCATATAGTTAATGTCCTGCTTAGTAAATTTGCATAAAAGAATGTTTTGCCTTATATAGTGAGGATAAACCTGTACTCAGTCATTGTAAAGAATGGTTTCAGGCAGCCTGTGCAAAATAGCTTTATTTGGGGCAATGAAGCACTTGCAGTCATCAAGGGAGGCAGGGATCAATGCCTAGGAAGAAGTGTATGCAGAAGGAAATCCATGACAATAAATAAATAGATCAAGTTAAGTCAGGCCAAGTCAAAGTTTATTCATATAGCGCTTTTTACAACAGGTGTTGTCACAAAGTAGCTTTACAGAAAAAAATGCGTCCAAGACCCCATGAGTATCACCAGTGGTGACCAGTGGCAAGGAAAAAATCCCTAAGAGCAAGAGGAAGAAACATTGAGAGGATCTAAGACTCAAAAAGGGGAACCCATCCTCTTAGTATAAAATATTAGAATACAAAATGGGAAAAAACAGATGGAGCAATGGTTAATTAGATAGTTTGAGTTTATGCAGCGACAGCAGCAGCATCAGGGGGGTCAGTTCATGCAGGTGAGGTTTCCACAGCTTTGTACAGCATGAAAATCCATGGTGGTGAAAACGGTGCAGATCAGCCAACAGAGATGGAGCTCTGGTGACTCTAGCAGCTCTGGTGGCTCCTATGTGGTGACTCAGGCTCTCAGGAGGGAGAGCAAGAGAGAGAGAGAGAGAGAGAGAGAGAGAGAAATTGATTACCAGGACAGGTCAGTTTATGGAGAGATATTCGTGCGTTAATAGTGGAACAACTGATGTTAGCCAAATGCTTGTGCAAACAAGGCCGTTATTTTGTGAGCAGAGCGTACATGTGGGTTTGTATGACTGAATTAATTCACTAAGATACTGCAGGGCCAAGCCATTTAATGATTTATACGCTAAGAGAAGGATTGTGCCAGTGCCAGTGCTGCTGCTGGCGCTGCTCCTGCTTCAGCTTCCATTCTACTTTGCTGATCCGAACCGATGTCAGTGGTAGGGAGGCTGCACCTTACCTCCTGGATCTCTCCCACGGAGCCCATTCAGTGGTGATATATGCCATCAAATTTCGTACCCTGGCCACTGAGAGTGGCTGGAATGAGGAGGCACTTATTGCTGTCTTCCATCAGGGGCTTAAAGGGAGGCTCAAAGATGAACTAGCTACCCAGGCGCTGCCCACCATGTTAGGGGGTCTCTACGATGTATGCATTCACCTTGACACCCACATGCGTCAAAGAGACTTAGACCAGAGAGGTGGCTGCTCTCCAGCCGGGCAACCACCTAGTGGGGTCCCTGCTGCTGAGAAATTTGTGCAGCCTTGCCAGAGGACATGGCGGAAGGCCCGTGCTTCCCTCCTGATAATGATCAAGGCCAGGGAGCAGGTGGCAGACCACCTTCCGGCCGTGCCAGCGGGTGTGGAAGAAGCTGGCACGTAGACACGTGGGGCAATTTAAGGTCGACTGGCAAATTAACCTGGTCACCTACCGGCTACGACTTCTGCCCTCCATGCGGGTTCACCCCACATTTGACGTGTCACCATTCCTTTGTGGGACTCTGCCCCCAGCACCGCGTCTCGTTTCTGGCTCCCCGGCATACACAGTCCGTCACCTCCTGGAATCCCACTGTGTGCAGGGTAGCGTTCAGTACCTGGTTGACTGGGAGGGCTAGTCTTGGGTTTCAGCGCACCATATCTTGGACCCAGAACTCATTAGAGAGTTCCGGCGGGTGTGCGCTGCTGGCCCGGCGACTTCAGTAACTCCTCCGACCGCCAATCAGTCCATCGGCTTTTCGAGTCTGGCTCTGACCCCAACATGCACAATCACTCAATTCATACTCCTTCACCTAATTAAATTCATTAATCTTTCTCACGGGTTTTCCCCTCTGCACTTGGATCTGCCTCCCTGCCGTCCCGTAACAGAGTCCAGGGATGAGCTGCAGGTATGTGTGATGATAAATATGCAGAGCCAGTGTGGAGCTGGAGCTGAATTGAACCAAAACAAAATGTCCATGCCCTGTCTCCCCTCTTGCTGCAAATGGCTGACCTTGTGACACAGGCTCGTTTCCTCACCACATGGCTCCCAAAAAGCAGAAGGTGGACAAGGACATGTGGGCATGACCAAAAAAAAAAAGGGAAGTCCAGAGGGTGGGCAGTCTAGCAAGGGGGTCCAACAAGGGGATAGGGCCATGCTCAGAAAGGGGGACAGGAGTGGCAGGAAGTGCAGGCAACAGGGGCTGGAGGACCAGCCCTTGAAGCTAACAGTAGAGCACCAGACTTTGGTCATCTTTCCCTCCTCTAAGTACATGCTGAGTTTTTATATCTCTACTGCACTTGACTGGGGATTGAGCAGGGTGTCGATCAGTTGTGCTATGAATGATTATGCAATGAAATATTATCTTAATTGAGAAGTTGGGCTGAGCTGAGCTCCTATGCACAAAGCTACTATTTATTATCAGATTAGACTTGAAGGGTTATACATGTCTCGGGTTGGCCTTTCATACTAGCTAAATTATGTTTTATTTTTGGTGGTGGGGGGGTGAGCAAGTATTCAGTTTCATAGTTGGATTGGCATTCCTCTTATGGCCTATGGTCTGTGTCTCCCTGTATGTGGTATGGCTTAAGATGGTGAGTGCTGTTTTTAGGAACTAGTGTCTGATGTCTACCTGTTTCTTTCAGTGTCTTATGATGTGATATGTGGCTGTAGCCCCTTTATTGGGGTCTTTTATTGAAAGAATTTAATCTTCTAATGGTTACTGTATTTCTCTCCTAAACAGTATTTTGCAAATCGAGTTCCAGAAACACAGGTAATAAATTGTTCATTTATTTTTAATGATTTTAGTGATTGATATATTTAGGCTTATTATTTAGTAACTACAAGGACTTCTGGTGGGCCCTGGCCATACAAGGAGGTAATCTGTGTCTGTGTCCTCATTTAGACAATTTTCTGTATCTGTTTTACTTCTTGATGAGGGCTACAGTGTTGCATACAGTAGTTACAGTGCAAAAAAGGACCTGTTCTTTAAAGAATCATAGCGATATGAGGAAAAATGCCAGACCAAGTGTATAGTGGCATACAGCAGCGGTTCGAGGCATGTGTACTGGACTCTGTTACATTTTTTTTATTCGTCAAGGTATAAACAATGTCCATGTTCCTTCAAAGGTACATCAAGGGTTTTAAGGTACAAGGGATGTATTTGTACCTTTATGTAACCTAATGTTTTTCAGACTGAACAATAAAATAAAATAGACTTCCTCACCCTCGTCAGTTTGCAAAACAAATGCAGTGGCTTTTTTGGCTTTCTTTTTTTCTTTGAAATGTCTTTCAGCATGCCTAGCATACTCTAGGGTGTTGTTTAATCGAGGTGAGCGATGATCAATCATGTGTTTAGTAACAAAACTGCTTATTGATTGGAGTGCACAATTAAGGAATGCATTTTTCAACTGCTATTCATAAGGTACTCCGGTGTTATTGTCAAAAATCTCTTTGAGTCTACCGAAGTATGCGTTGACTGATTCATCATCCTGTTGGATACAGTGGTTTATTTCAGACCAGTCAGCAATATGAGCAAACTTGGTTTCAAGGCGCTCAAGCAGGGCAGCTTGTCTAGTACTTAGAGTGGGGTCCCCATGTGCTAATGGAACACGCTGTCCGTTATAGGGACTCCAATCTCCGCTAATCAGACACCAGTCCGTTCCCATAATTTGTCTTAATGCGCGCTCATATTCCATGCCATTCAGTCTATAGCAAGTATAGAGATTTGCCATTTTAGTTTTAAAATCTTCCATTTTCATTTTAGGATGGAGGATACCTTCCGTGGCTTTCCTTACATCCTCCTCAGTCCAAGGTCTAAACACAAACATAGTGACATTGCTGCCGTCTGGAGTGGGATTGGGATTTGGGACTTCGATCATAGGGTATGCTTCAGCAGTAAGTTCTTCATTTAAATTTTTAACAACAGCGGCATTGGGGGAAAACACAGGACGGTAGCGCGTAAGATTTGGGAGAGAGGGAAAGGATGGAATGTACCGACTGCGCAGCTGCATACCGTCCATTGGAACTAAAGCAGCCGAGAGTGAGGGAGTCACTGGGGCAGGAGGGACGGACGCGACATCACTTTTACTGTCCTTGTCAGTATGTACAGTCACACCAACACTATAACCAGGTGGTGGGTCAGTCTGCCCGCGACTATTAAGTTGTGGGTAAAGTCTACGTCCAACAGCATTGTCGTCAGTGTTAAAACGTCAACTTTCTTGAGTTCTTTAGCTTTTCTAATACTTTCTGCGCACTTTTTTGCCTCTACCAACCACTCTTTGGCTGAACTATGACCTTCTCTTATCAATGTTTTTAGACTTCCTTTAGCCCTCTCCTCTATCTCTCATAGCAGATTCTCACATTCTGGCACACTCAACCTTCCTTTAAATCCATATTTATTTTTCCATCTTTTAAACCACTTTGCATTATCCTTCTCTTAGAACATCAACTTCACATCACCTGGCAGCCCGGGCTCCACTTTGTCATGACAACAACAACTGCAGCAATTTTACGTTAAAAACAACAACACTCACACAACCGTTCAGGGTCTTTCATCTGAACACCATTCAGGGTCTTTCACCTGAATACCATTCGGGGTCTTTCACCGAAATACTTTATGGCTTTCGGACTTTATTGCCAGGGCGCTACTTCGGGTCTTCACTTACTAGGACTTAGTAAAAACACCTAATAAATGACCAGACTCCCTCGCCTGGCTTTACTTCCCGCGTGTTGGATCTTCACCCAACCGGCAACCAGATGGCCTATTCTGGACTTTTATTGACCCGTAAGAAAAACCCTTTTCTTACTTTCAAAGTACGGTGTCTCAGGGATTCTAGAACAATGCCATCACTTCTCCACCACCCAGAGGATCCTGGCCTCTTTTTGAAAGCTCAAACATTCTCAGAGAGGAGGCGTCTTTTCTTGTCAGAAGTCCTAAAACTCCCCCGCACGGTTCAGGTCCCTGTATCTGGGCGGCAGAGGAGATGTTGGGATCCGGCTCGAAGGACCAAGTTGTAAGAGAAACCTTCTTTAAATAATCAGCCTGAGACCACCAATGTTTTTGAAGCTTTTATTCTTGCAGCAAGGAAGCAGTTACACACAGAGTCAAGTCTAGCATGTAATGCTCAAAGCGCTTTGGGTCATGCCCTGTGTTATACCTTTGGAAGAGTACGTTTTACTCTTACTCTTACTCAGCTGAACTATTCTTTAACTTCTGTTTATCTATTACCTGACACATCCCGTTTCTTCGAGTTTAACTAAAGGTCAAGTTCCACTTTTTGTACCATTGTTTTCACTTATTGCTGACAGGAGAGCCCTTCATCTGACCCCAGAGTGTATGCAGTGCACTCTGTCTGAACTTTTTACCTACAGAGTTCTTGACTTAAACATGACCATATATGGTAATTCAATCATTAACATAGAGTATAATACTGATTTTTCTGACAATTTCCAACCTGAGGACACAGCTTGACTTGAGACAAGTTTTAAGATTCTACCATGAAGCTTTATAACGTCCTGGGAGCAATCAGCAAGGTAGGAGCTCAAAAAGGCTATTTCGAAGTCCATTGCTAATATGAGGGTGAGCTGGGTTAACTAAGTATGTGTATATATTTTACAGTAATGAAGGACCTACACTTGAGGGTACCAATAATTATGTAAAAAAGCTCTTCTTAAAATTACATTGTTGTTTTGTACAGTCACTGCTGGTTAAATAAAAGCTACACCTTGTATATTGTATACAAAAGAATAAATATAGTCATGATCTACTTAGTAAATGTATTTAATTTCTTCAGTCTATTAGTCAGCATTTAATATTCTATGGAGGCTTTTGCATCAAATGTATGCTTCTTATATTTAGAAAATATATAAAAGAATATATGAAACAATACTCAATTACTAAGGACTACAATAATGTCAGTTATAGGATGCCAGACGTAATTTAGAGATATAGATTCAATATGTGAATATATGATGCTTTTGTGTGACATTTCAGCATAGGTGAAAACTAAAAATGCTCCGGAAACAAATTAAACCTTGAAGATGAGTGCAAAAAAATTTTACAAGTAACAATGTACTCAGATGATGCTCTGAACCATGGATGAAAAATGGCATATATTAGTGGATTCATGGAAGAGTTCATATATGCTAGCCAGGAAAAAACAGTCCACACTGTTGAAGAAGTTGTCAAATTTTCAACTGACAGACAACTTAAAAAGTAAGGTATCCAGCAAGCAAGATAAACAAATATTATAATGGCTAATGTCTTTGCTGCTTTGGTTTCAGAAACATTTGAAACTTTGGCTCCATGTCTGTTTGAGACACCGTTCATCACAGCTCTAACAGCTTTAGCTTGACGTCGTGCCACTTTAAAAATGATCGAATACAAAACCAGTATGACAGAACAAGGGGTTAGAAAAGAAACTACAACGTCTACAAAAACCCATGAATGTTTAACATAGATCACACACTCTCCATAGCATGTACTGATGATTTGAGATGGAAGTAAATGGTTATTAGAGTACATATAGATGAATATATACAACAGCAAAAAGGACCATCCCACTATTATCAACAACAATGTTTTACAAACTGTGAATTTCACAGAATAAAGCAGAGGGTCAGTGACAGCAATGTACCGATCAACTGCAATGAGCACCAGGCTACAGAGAGACCCTGATGTTGACACAAAACTGACCATTATAGAAACCGTACATGCTATTTTTCCAAGATACCAACAGGAATTTATTAATTGCATGATATTCACAGGCATAACAAACAGTCCCATGAGAAGATCTGCCACAGCCACAGAGAGGATGAGCAGGTTGGTGGGAGTGTGGAGCTGCTTGAAGTGAGAGATGGAGATGATCACCAGCAGGTTCAGAAACACAGTGAACACAGACACACATGAGAGAACAATGAACAATAATATATAAGCAGGGCCTGTTCGCACCTCCTTTCTGCAAGAAGAGTTGTTGTCAGGAAAGCAGTATTGAACTGTGATGTTTTGTATACTGGCTTTGTTCTCCATCTCAGTCAGACACAAGTCTGCCAACTGAAACTGATCAGTGTTCAGTGACACTGAACTGAGAGATGTGTCTTTTGGGCATTTCTCTTTATACCTTACTATGAATCCTCCTACTAACAGATGAGTGGTTTGTCTCCTACGTCAGGCACTCAGATATTCAGTGATACATTACATCATGAAAAATAAAAGACTAATGAGTAAATGAGTAATGGAGTTGTTTACTGTGGTGTAGTATTAATAAAAATAATAATAATAATAATAATAATAATAATATTTATTTATATAGCACTTTTCATGCCAGTGGCAGCTCAAAGTGCTTTAAAGACAGGTGATAGCTTAACAGTAATAGAAGAAATAAGTATTACTTTAGTGTAATACAAGAAATTGAGCACAGATCAAATTCATAGATAAATACCAAGCGACGTGGAGTTTTAATTAAATGCTAAATTAAAGAGACGTTTTTAGATGCTTCTTAAAAGTGAGCACTGAGATCGACTATCTGATAAAACGAGAATTGAGTTCCATTGTTTAGAAGCAGAAGAACTGAACGAGACTCTCCATGTATTCTGTATTTTACAGGTGTTTGCAGAAGGTCAATATCTGCAGATCTAAGATCACATGCTGGAACATAAACAGACAGACACTCTGTGATGTGATCAGTGCCCTAAGGTCATTTACAGCTTTAAAAAACTAGTAGCAGAATTTTAAAATCTATTCTTAAATGATACAGATAATATCCTGCTTAGTCATTTAATCTGCCTCGTACAGTGAGAAGGAACAAGTACATATATCCACAGTGCATATATGCACTTCATATGAATACAAATAATGTTTTCTGACTTTGGACTAATAAATATGAACAAAAAAGTAGGTATTCTTAGGCATAAACAAAGATATGTTTAATATATAGAATTTGAGACAATTATAGCTTTGTGGTTCAATTTTGTTTCATCTCAGCTGAGTGTGTTGTTCCAAAAGAGTTCTGATAAGTCTTCATTCTTGTGTGCAAATTTTAGATGTTTATTTCTGTTCTTCCTTTGTTAAGCAGAGTTTTGTGTGGGATGTAGGAACAGAGACGGTTGTGGTTCTCTGTGTAACTGTTATTCCTGCTGCCTTCAGGTCATCCGCCAACTCTTTTCGATTCTTACCTTCCTTCGCATTAGTCTGACAGCATGTTGTGTGCATGGTGTGAGTGGACACTTCAGATCCAGATAGTAACTCTTTTTGCATCTGCTTGGACACATTTTATACTGGTTTGAGCTAATTAGAGACACTGAGGAGTTGGAACAAAAATCTGGAGAGGATTTTCACTTTCTGGTCCGGGATTTTCCAATTCTCAAAATCTTGTGAGGTGCAGCTTTCCGGAGATGCCTAGATGTTTTTCAACAAACTTCTCCCTTGCATATTATTGGATGAGATGTACTGACAGGGATGTATGAGATCCAACCTATGGCTCTGTAGGTTTTTAAATTTGAGTGTTCTTTTATCATTGTCCCTCAAGTACTTAAGGAAGCTCCTTCACATTCACCATGATTCCCAGCTAACAAATCAAATGTGGGCTCCGTGTAGATGTTAACTGGGCTGTGTGAGTTTTATATGAACATAGGCTTATAGTGGACTTTTTAATGGGACCCCAATAGTCTACAGTTTTGAGCCCCAGTTGGGTAACTGTTGGGTTTTTTCTCTCCTGTCTCTTTTTCTCATCCCACCTTCACCTCATGAAACCTGTTTGTGCTCTGGTTCGAAGCTTTGAGTAGTGTATAAGAACAAATGACACAAAAGCATCAAAGTGCAAAGACACACTCAGTTTAATATGAATCAGGACCGTCTTTTTATACCTTAAGTGATTATGATGGCTAAATATGAGTAACAATGGAAAAGAGGTTTGAATCATACATTTATAGATTAAGGAAGTAGATTAAAAGGTCACAAACATCAGGAAAGTATAAATATATTTTGAGAACTTGCTGTGATGACAGAAATTAAAGCAAGTTTCAACAAGACATATGTGGTTATAATTTTAAGTCTGGTGTGCTTTGCAGGACAGCTTAGTCTACAGAAACAAATCCTCCTCATTTGGAAATCCTTTGTTCCAATCCTTACAGTTGTATCTGTGAGTTCCTCTTATGCTGCACATTGTTCTATGTGTGCATCCTGTATAGGTTGTATTTTGAGATGTCATATTTAGATTAATTTTACATGTATTTTTGTTCCAAAACATAATGAATTCATGTTCCTGGTAGTTGTCATGTAAGGCATGGCCTATAAATGTGACTGCTTGAACACATTGCTTCATTCATTTTTTTTTCTTTGCATTTATCTACTTTCTCTGTTCTTTCACTTGTTCTTTAGGCTAAAGTTCTTGCAAATCGTTATTGTAATTAAGCCGTCTGAGGGATCAAAGACACAGGCATTCAGTTGGGTTTTTCAGCCTTGCACTTTTATGTACAAAGATTTCTTTATATTCCCTGATTTTCTTTTTTTGACAAAATTTTGCACCTTAGATGGTGAAATACCTGAAATCTTTATTAATCCTCCGAGTCTCAACCCTTTCTCACTAATAAAGTCCTTTCCTGGATGCTCCTTTTATAACCAAGCATGATTGTATCTCTTGATTAAGATGTGTTTTAAATGTTTCACAACGTTATTTATTTATATTCAGTCAGAAAGTTGTTTCTCTATCACAACATTCATTTTTTCATTGTAACTTCTTTTGATTAATGAGTTGTGTACATAAATCACACAATTCACACCTGTATTGATTTATTGATTTATCCAGTACTTAATGAAACAATAGTAGTACTGTGAAATTTGTGGAGTGTAAATACAAGCAGGATTCTACTGAATAAAAAATGAACTAAAAAAACTGCTATTTATCATTAGCTTTCTCTGAAAGTCTAGAAGGCCCTGAAGGTGCTTCTATGATGTATTATAAAGTGAGCTTTGCCTACAGTAACAGTTCAGTTGTATTCAGAGGTTTGGGAATAAAGCCACATAACAGCATTGCTATTATTGTGCAGATGCATTTATGTTTAAGCATATTACCAATGCAAGTTGTATGCGCTGCAGAGCCAGTTGTACCTGTTGCGGTGTGAGCCACTGGTTTTATTTTACACCTGTCCCTCCTGTAAGTACATGTTATATGATATCTCTACTGAACTTGATCAGGGATGATTATTCAGTAACTACAGGACTTCAATAGAAAACTGGCTGAGCTATTCTTAGGTTATAGAAGTGTGTAATAAAATTTGGGCCCTGGCCATATAAGAAGGTAATCTGTGTCATCATTTAGACAGTTTTCTGCATTTGTTTTACTTCTTGATGGGGGTCAGTGTTATATAGTTACAGTGTAAAAAAGTACTCAATGTTGTTCTTTAAAGACTCACTAATGAGACATGAGGAAAAGTGCCAGATCAAGTGCATAGTGGCATATGGCAGTGGTTTGAGGCCTTTGTAAAGTGTCAAACAACATAGTGAACTACACAATCAATCCACACGTACACTGTCAGAAAAAAAAAGTACAGTGTAGGTAAATTTTTTTATTCATAAAGGTACAAACAATGTACATGTTCCTTCAAAGGTACATCCATGGTTTTAAGGTACAAGGGATGTATTTCTACCTTTTGTGTAACCAAATGTTTTTAAGACGGAACAATAAAATAAAGTCTGGAGACAAGATTGGGTGTGTGGAGTCAGAACTTAAAATATATATTTATATATGTAAATATTCAGTGGAGTATGGAACAGTTATGTTCAAAAGTACTGAAGGATGAAGCCTTGATGGTACCATCCCAGTGACAAGTAATAATTATACTCCAAATCCTGTTGAAATTTTCATGATTTACAGCTAAACTTTCAACCTGAGGACACAGCTTGACTTGAGATAAACAGCTGAGCGAGTTTTAAGATTCTAGCATGAAGCTTTATAACATCCTGGGAGCAATCAGGAAGGTAGGAGCTCAAAGAGGCCTTTTTAAAGTCTATTGCTAATAAGAAGATAAGCTGGGTTAACTAAGTCTGTGTATATGTTTTATTGTAATGAAGGACATATACTCAAGGGGACCACCCCAGTGACAAGAGGGGTACCGCTTCAGTGAGAGTGTACTCAACATTGTTTTTGCTGCACAACCAATATTTATGTAAAAAAGCTCAGATTTCTGCACTCATTGCTCCTATCTTCTTTAAATGACTGTTTCGTACAGTCACTGCTAATTAAAAGTTACACATTGCATATTATTTACAAAGGAACAAATATCGTTATGATCTACTTTTAATATTATATGGAGGCTTTTACATCAAATGTATGCTTCTTATATTTAGAAAATATATATAACAATACTCAATTACTAAGAATGCCAGATGTAATTTAGAGATATAGATTCAATATGTGAATATATGATGCTTTTGTGTGACATTTCAGCATAGATGAAAACTAAAAATGCTCTGAAAACAAATTAAACCTTGAAGATGAGTCCCAAAATATTTTACAAGTGACAATGTACTTAGATGATGCTCTGAACCATGGATGAAAAATGGCATATATTAGTGGATTTACAGAGGAGTTCATATATACTAGCCAGGTAAAAACAGTCCACACCATTGAAGAAGTTGTCAAATTTTCAACTGACAGAGAACTTAAAAAGTAAGGTATCCAGCAAGCAAGATAAACAAATATTACAATGCCTAATGTCTTTGCTGCTTTAGTTTCAGAAACATTTGAAACCTTGGTTGGTTTGTTTGAGGCAACGTTTGTCACAGCTCTAACAGCTCTAGCTTGACGTCTTGCCACATTAAAAATGAGTGAATACAAAAGCAGTATGACAGAGCAAGGGATTAGAAAACAGACTGCAATGTCAGCAATCACCCAGGAATGTTTAACATAGATCACACACTCTCCGTAGCATGTGGTGAATATTTGCGATGGAAGGAGATGGTCATTACAATACATATAGATGAAAATATACAATAGATAAATAGACCAGCTCAGTATTATCAACAACACAGTTTTAACAGTTGTGACTCTACTGTAGTAAAGCAGAGGGTCAGTGACAGCAATGTACCGATCAACTGCAACAAGCACCAGGCTACATAGAGAGCCTGACATTGAGATAAAATTGACCATTATAGAAACAGTGCATGCCATTTTTCCAAGATACCAACAGGAATCTATTAATTTCATGATATTCACAGGCATAACAATCAGTCCCACGAGAAGATCCGCCACAGCCAGAGAGAGGATGAGCAGGTTGGTGGGAGTGTGGAGCTGCTTGAAGTGAGAGATGGAGATGATCACCAGCAGGTTCAGAAACACAGTGAACACAGAAACACATGAGAGAAAAATAAACAATAATATATAGGCAAAGCCTTCTCGCACCTCCTTTCTGCAAGAAGAGTTGTTGTCAGGAAAGCAGTATTGAACTGTGATGTTTTGACTGTAGTCTGTGTTCTCCATCTTTATCTCAATCTGACACAATTCGCCACCTGAAACTAATCCAGTCGTGTTGTTCTGTGTTACTGAACTGAGAGATCTGTGTTTTGGGCATGTATCTTTATACCTTGCTACCAATCCTAACACTGAGACATGAGTGGCTGGTTTGTCTCTTACATCAGGGACACTGATAATCAGTGTTACATCATTACACTGACAAACATAAAAAAAAACACAAAAAAAGTCTAGGTGTGGGTAATGTTGCCGTTTACTGCAGTGTCATATGGCTAATGTCATGATTAGGTAATTTTATGTATGCAGTGAGGAAAAGCAAGTATTCAGATTGTTTTGTTATTTAATATTCTCAGTGCAAATATCAATATCAATCAAATATCAACTTCAAGTTTACACACTAATGACTTAATTTTGTATTATGTATTATATATGCATAAGCATAAACAACGGAAAAATAAAGAAATTTATAGGGGAAAAATTATTCAGACACTACGAATCAATAACGTTAGCAAAGTACTACAGCTTTGAGACATCTACAGTAGTACATACATTCCCAATTTTAAAAATGTTGGGACAAAAAAAAAAGCAGTGATTTTTTTTATACATCTATTTGACCTGTATTTGAACAAAAACAGTACAAAGACAAGTTATGTTATGTTTTATCTTAACAACTTCCGCCTCCCTGCCGTCCCGTAACAGAGTCCAGGGATGAGCTGCAGGTATATGTGATAATAAATTTGCAGAGCCAGTGTGGAGCTGGAGCTGAATTGAGCCAAAACAAAATGTCCATGCCCTGTCTCCCTTCTTGCTGCAAAGGGGTGACCTTGTGACAGAAGCTCTGTTCCCCAACACATTGCTCCCGCAGGCATGACCAAAACAAAAGGGAAGTCCAGAGGGTGGGTAGTTCAGAGTGTGGGCAGTCCAGCAAAGGGGTCCAACAAGGGGGCAGGGCCATGCTCAGAAAGGGGGACAGGAGTGGCAGGAAGTACAGGCAACAGGGCGCTGGACCAGCCCTTGAAGCTAACAGTAGAGGACCAGACCTTGGACCTAACACTGGAGCTGCACAAAAGACCAGCCCTGGAGTTGCATGGAAATTCAAAACTGGAGCAGTCTGGTGTCTGAAAGTACAGTAGTTTGGAGAACTGGAGGTGGAACAGCCTGAAGGACTGGCACTGAAGCAGCTGGGCCTTCAGTACAAAGCAGGAAGACAGGAGCTGGCTCTTAAGACACAGGCATGAGGAAAACAGCAGCGGCTTTAGTTCCAGGCTGGCGCTCTCGCTGGTGACGGGGCAGCACTAGAAATCCACTACGGGCTTTATCATGCCCCTCCCCCCACTGTGGTGGACTCCATATACCAGCAACCTACTTGGCAACACAGTGGCTACAGCTTATGTGGTATAAATGAATTGTTTGGGATTCTCCTCTTCTTCCTCGAACAGACAGTTGAAGACAACCCAGAAGAGGTTCCAGAAACAGACCAATCATTAGGTGGCCCCTCTTTTAAAGGCTCATGTGTAAACTGGCCATTCCAAGGAGGGCCTTCCTACCAAAGAAGTTGCAACAGCCACTTAAGCCTTGTCATAGTGGAGTAGCTCACAATGGGGCTTACAGATCATCTAAAAAAATAAAAACCCCTTACCAACTATGGTTTCTTTGTAAGAATTTCTAATTATTTGCTGAAGATATCAACATTAACTGCATTTATTTTAATTTTAATTCAATATTTTGTTTTAATAGCTTTTATAGAGTAAAATATGTTGCAGTTTGTGAACAAAACCTGTTAAAACCCTAAGACTCGGTTTTCAACTCCAGTGAAAATGCTACAGCTCAGTCATGTGATGTAATATGATCAGACAGCGAGTGTGATGGACAGACAAAGAAAGAGAGGATAGTGCACATACGGAACATATTCTGCACATTTGAAGAAAAAAGCAAAATATAGCTTTGCTATGACCTGATAAGTTTACAGCTAAACTTCCAACCTGAGGACACAGTTTGAGCATATATGGGCAAGTAAAATGCTGAGCAAGTGTTAAGATGCCAGAGTGAAGCTTTGTAACATCCTGGCATCAATCAGGAAGGTAGGAGCTCATAGAGGCTATTTTAAAAAGCATTGCTATTATTGTGCAGGTACAAGCTTATCAAGTTTATCTGTAAGTATTTACAAATAAACTTGTTAAGCAGGTTTGAGTTCTGTTTAGTAACTGTGTTTGTATGTGCTGCAGAGTCAGTTGTACCTATTGTGGTATTAGGCTTTCTTTTACACCTTCCCGCCTCTAAGTACATGCTTGTTTTTTGATATCTCTCCTGCACTTGATCGGGGATTGAGCAGGGTGTCAATCAGTGGTGCTATGAATAATCATGCCTCTTAATTGAGCAGTGGAGCTGAGTTCCTATGCACAAAGCTACCATCTATTATCAGGTTAGACTTGAAGGGTTATACAAGTCTCAGGTAGGCCTTCCATATTAGCTAAATTATGTTTGTTTATTTATTTATTTATTTATTTATTTACTTTTGTTGATAGCAAGCATTCAGTTTCATCATTTGGCATTCCTCTTATGGCCTATGGTCTTTGTCTCCCTGTATGTGGTATGGCTTAAGATGGGTTGTGAGTGCTGGTTTTAGGAACTAGTGTCTGATATACATGTCTCTTTCAGTGTCTTATGATATGCTATGTGGCTGTAGCCGCTTTATTGGGATCTTTTATTGAAAGAATATAGTTACAGTGCAAAAAAGGACTCGTTGTTTTTCTTTAAAGAATCTTAGTGCTTTGGATCACTACTGTGATATTTCAGCATAGGTAAAAACTAAAAATGCTCTGGAAACAAAGTGAACTTTGAAGATGAGCGCCAAAATATTTTACAAGTGACAATGTGCTCAGATGATACTCTGAACCATGGATGAAAAGTGGCATATATTAGTGGATTTACAGAGGAGTTCATATATACTAGCCAGGTAAAAACAGTCCACACCATTGAAGAACTTGTCAAACTTTCAACTGACAGACAACTTAAATATTAAGGTATCCAGCAAGCAAGATAAACAAATATTATAATGGCTAATGTCTTTGCTGCTTTAGTTTCAGAAACATTTAAAACTTTGGCTCCTTGTTTGTGTGAGGAAGCATTTGATTGCAATGTACCGATCAACTGTAACAAGCACCAGGCTTCATAGAGACCCTGACATTGAGATAAAATTAACCACTACAGAAACTACATGCCATATTTCCAAGATACCAACAGGAGTCTATTAATTGCATTATTTTCACTGGCATAACAATCAGTCCCACGAGAAGACCCAACACAGCCAGAGAGAGGATGAGCAGGTTGGTTGGAGTGTGGAGCTGCTTGAATTGAGAGATGGAGATAATCATGAGCAGATTCAGAATCACAGTGAACACAGATATACCTGATAGAAAAACAAACAAAAATATATAAGCCAGGCCTGTTCGGACCTCCTTTCTACAAGAAGCATCGTTGTCAGGAAAGCAGTATTGAACTCTAATGCTTTGTCTATACTCTGTGTTCTCCATCTCAGTTGGGCACAAGTCTGCCAGCTGAAATTGATCCAGTCATGTTGTTCAGTAACACTGAACTGAAAGATGTTTCATTGATTTCATCTTGGCCAGTAAGTGACAGCCTAGCTATGTCCATGATCCTAGGAAGGCTCTCTTTTTGGTAAGCACTACGGATCTATAGTACTCAAATGAGAGGATGAGTCTTTACTCTCTTGTAGCCCATGAATGGTTTCTGGAGTTTCAGGTAAAACTGTCTTGTTTCCAACAAGGCTCCACTTTGGTCTTTGGCCTTACCACTGAATCATCCATGTCTGCTTTTGGAATTCTCACATGCAGCCCAACAGGCAGGAGATGGTCTTTGTGAATGGTCTTGAGACCATCCTTACCATTCTCAGATCTGATCTTGTAAACTGAAATGTTGGGCATTTTTCCCAGCACAATATAGGGATTAGGATTCCATCTGCATTCCACCTTGTGTTTCCCTCTTAGTGCCTAGTTTCTGAGAGGCACTCTGTCACCAGCTTCCAATGAGTGAAAGGTAACTCTATGGTCATACATCTTTTTGTTCTTGTCTCTTGTCTGCAGCTTTAGACACAAGCTTGTAGGCATGTTGCAAGTCCTCCTTGAGCTTTGTTACATAACGGCAATGGCTGCAACCCTCTACACAATCTGGAGAGGTCCCAAAGCGCAAGTCAATTGGAAGTCTTGCCTCTCTGCCAAACATTAAATACAACTGGTGAATATCCTGTGGCATCACACTTTGAGCTATTGTATGCATGAACCAGGTATCCCACATGCTGACTCTAGTAACGTTTCTTCTCCTGACTCAGAGTACCCAGCATAGATAGCAAGGTGTGATTAACCTCTCTTGTTGAGGATCCCCTTGAGGGTGATATGGGGTGGTCCTTGATTTGCAGATCCCCTTCAATCACAAGGGCTCTTTGATCAAGTGACTCTCCAAGTTTCTTCAACATGCACAGACTTCAACACTACCTCTCAGAATTCCTTTGGTAGAACAAGCTGAATGACTTCTTCCCCTGAAGGTCGTCTGCTCAAACGGTGAAGTCCACTTTTCATGGTCAACCTCCCCATCTCTCGTTTTATACAAAATAGCTCTGGGCTGGTTTCCATATTCTCAGGCCACTTTCCCTGATTAAGAGCTTCAATGGCAGGTCCTATCACAGTGTCTTCTTCCTCAGCTCTTTTAAGCATCAGTTCTGACATCTGCTGTAGTGATTTTAAATCCAAGTGTGTTGGGAAAGCATTAAAGCATCTGGAACACAGTCAGAAGATGCCCTTAATTGGTCCAACAATCTCACAGGATGATCAGGAGTTTCATGGATGCCCACTCACTGAAAGATAGACTTCAAACCAGACTGAGGTATCATCTCCCGCTCACCACTGGTGTCCTCATCAGGAATGTTCAAAGCAGGTCTGTGTCTATATTGTGTTGGCCTGGGTGGTACTGGAGATCAAAATCATATGTGGATAAGCAGCAAGCCATTGATGTCCAACAGCATTGAGCACGTCAGTTGTGAGCACATACATAAGAGGGTTGTTGTCAGTACATACTGTGAACCTTGCCCTGTAAAGATAATCATGCAGCTTATCACTACAGCCCACTTTAGGGACAAAAACTCCAGCTGATGGATTGGTAGTTCAGATGGCTTTACCTTTCTGCTAGCATAGGCAACCAGTCTCAAATCTTCTGGGTACTCTTGATAGAGCACAGCACCAAGCCCCTTAAGACTGGCATCAATGTGCAGAATGTATGGCTTTTGGGGATTCACAAATGCCAACACATGTGCATGTGTGAGGCAGTAAATGATCTGGTAGAATGCATCAGTACAGTCTCATCTCTCACCAGAAGGCTCAGATCCTTTCAAGTGCAATTTGTTTTGACCACTGTTATGCTTTTAGCTCTTTTGAGTAGGAGCATAGCCTTTTGTGATTTCTGTCAACAGTCTAACAATAGCAGAACGGTTGGCTATGCACTGACAATAATAGCCACAAAATCCTAAGAATGACTGCAGGGTCTTCAGGTTTGTGGGTTGAGGCCAATTGGTGACTGCCTCAGTTTATGTCAGATCAGGTGGGACACCATCCACTGACACAATGTGTCCCAAATATTTGACCTTTTGCAAGCATATTTGACACTTGTCTAGAGAGACCAATAGTCCAACCTCTCCAAGTCGATCAATGACCTTGAGCAGCCTTTCCTCATATTCTTCGAAAGTCATCTCAAAGACAATCAGGTAATCCAGACAGACAAGCACTTGGAGCAAGTTCATGTCGCTAACAGTCCTCTCCAATAATCTTTGGAAGGTTGCTGGGGCTCCAGATATCCCTGTTGGCATTCTTTCGAACTTGAAAAACCCTAGTGGGCAAATAAATGCCATTTTTTCTTTGTCCTCTTGGGACACGGTTATTTGGTAACAGCCCCTTTGCAGGTCAAGCACAGAAAACCATTTATTGACAAGGCATTCAGTGCATCGTCAATGCAGGGTGTGGTGTACTGGTCTGAAATCATTCGACTATTTAACAACCTGTAATCTGTACACATCCTTACAGTCCCATTTTTCTTCCTCACGACTACGATCGGTGAGGCAGTGAGACTCCTTGATAATTCCTGCCTGCAAGAGATCTTGGAGATTTTCTTATATCTTCAAAGTCTGCAGGAGCAAGGCAGTGAGAGTGCTCACAAAATGGTTTGGAATCTGACAGCTGAATCATGTGTTTTACACCTTTGGCTAATCTGACATCCCATTCATGCAGGGAAAAACACTAGACTTCTGAGACAGCTTCTGACAAAGTCTGTCTTTCCTTTTCTCTGAAATAGGTGAATCTCCAAAAAGTTAATCAGACTTGCATCAAACGGTGCAGGAGCTGTCTTAACAGTAGGGATGGTTGCAACTTAAATCAGTGAGACGTATGTTTCCAATAACTGTTCCCACGGGAATTACTGTCTCTTTCAGGGACTCATTCTTGACCAAGACTCTGAAAGCTCTGAAATCCAGTGCATGGCCTGGCACCACCATGGGCTTAAGTAACACACCAGCAGAAAACAGTGGTGAATGTCAGAATCATTGGGAAAACTGCACAAGTGGGTTTTGAGAAGAAATTTCTTCTTAAGAATGTTTGGTGCAGCTTTCGTATTTTTGATTGTATTCCTGAAGCATCGTATAGGATCCTGTTTAACGTCTGTAAGCTTCTGTATCTCTGGGATAATTTTTTGCTTGTGGACTTAAATTAGTTTTTTGCAATTTAGATTGACTGTGCTGAGAAAACTGTTCGTCCTTCCACTTCTCTCAATTTTTTTGACATCGTTCTGGATACGTGCAAGCTCCCTGACAAAAAGCTTCTTAAGATTAGGTCTGTTTTGGGGGCTTTTCTCTCATTGTAATCTGTCTCTAAACATGACGTTGTCTCTCTTCTTGACCATCTCAATTTTGCTATGTGTAATATGCCCCAGGGTTATTCTTTTATTTTTTGCTTGCCTTTTCAGCTCACTTGGTAGTTGATTTGTACAGTGCCATGTACAGTGCCATTGATCTGTGGTTCTGGTCTTGGCTCCTTGAGCAGTGGAACGGTTGGTTTTTGAGCATATTTTCAAGGGCAATGGTTTGCCAAAAAATGGCCAGCCGAATTCTGTTTTTCTCTACAGATTTCATTTTTTCCTGCCCTTGTAATGTACATTTGTTGTTCACAATTATCAAACTTGCACTTGTAAAACCTCTTGAATTCATTGCAAGATGATAGCAGGCATTTAGACATAAAGACCTTGGCCCAGTTTGTTGTCCAACCCTGCTATTCACTTGCTTCTTAAAGGTTTACTAAAATCAACACCAAAAATTCAGATGAATATTTACCAATAACTTTAGACATACTGCAGATCCTAGTCTCCACTGTTTGTGAATGTCTTTACACTACTTATATAAACAATTTCCTCAAGACTGTTTTTCTTATGCCTTTTTGTGGCATCTAGAGGAACTTGCTTCTGACACACAGTTTTTACATCCTGCATGGGGACTAAAGCTATACAGTATAAGTTTCTTGCCCCACTTCCTCACCATCTTTCTTAGGCACTCTAAGACAGACTCCTCATAATCAGGTGTTTCTATTAAAATCTCCAGAGTGAATAACTCTTTCTGTCCTTATTCCTCTATAACCTGTTATCTCAAGTCTCGCCCACATGCTCCTAACTGCCTTCCTATGACCAAATAATGGTTCAGGGACCATCTGGCTGCTGTCATGGAAAAATGTGGCCTGTCACATGGGCCATTCCTTCCAGATAGGCACAGCTACTACCACAGCCAAACATGGTCTACCCCAGGGGTGCACAACCAGTGTTCAGCACAGTTTGGATGTTTCCCTACTCAGAGACACCCACTTAACTTGGCAATTAACAAATAAGTGTAATCAGGTGTGTTCAAGCAGGTAAATCACCAAACTCTGCTGGACACCAGCCCTCTAGGACCGGAGTTGTGCACCCCCGGTCTACTCATTTCCACAATCAAGCTGCTTTGGAGATGGTTCTCTTCCACTTAAGAATCATACATAACACCAGATGCTTGTTTTATCTTTGTTGCTTAACTGGTGCTCTCAAATCAATTTATTACACTGTTTTATCCTGGCAAACAATTGGTGGCGGTTACTGTTCTATTTCAATACTAAGAGCAACTCTATAAATACTGATTTTATCATCTCTAATAACGCAATCAAAGTGTTCATGTTGTTCTCATCTTTATTAAGCCATTTAGCTCAGTTACTTTCTAACAGGCCACACTAATTACATGGTCCTGAGCTTGCAAGCTCAGTAATCTTCAGTCACCCTCATTGACTAAGCGAGCTCATGTAACTGTTTTCACACAATTCCTTGGCACCAAGCATCACAAAGCATGCACGTGTCGTAAGCTCTGACCTGATTTGACGTATGTACTAGGCCCACAGCTAGGTTGTCACAGCATGGCCTTGCAATCGCAATGTATGTATAAGCCCACTGCCTGAGCTAACGCAACGCATGTATGTGCTCGTCACCCAAGCTGACACAATGCATGTATAGGCCCATCGCAAGAGCTATCGCAATGCATGAATGGGCCCATCATCCAAGCTATCGCAATGAATGTATGTGCTCATCATCTGAGCTGATGCAATGCGTATATGGGCTCGTCGCCTGAGACAATGCAGTGCATGTACCAGCCTGTTGCCAAACCGAGCATGGTGCATGTTTGGGCCTGTGGCCCATCAATCTTAGTGCATGTATGGGGCCAAAGGTAGTGCATGTGTAGTCTTTAGCCAGCAACAAGTAGGACGCAGCCCTACAAGCTGATGTTTAAATGTAATTGGGCTGTGGCTCCTTACTGAAGGGCTGAAGGGCAAGGCATGGGTTTGTTGCTCTCAGCACTGCTGTGTCTGATCCACTCAGACCAGCACAACACACACAAACACACCACCACCACATCAGTATTACTGCAGTGCTGAGAACGATCCACCACCCAAATGGTATCTGCTCTGTGAGGGTCCATGGGGATCCTGACCACTGAAGAACAGGATCCACAGTCTGTAATTGTAGAACTACAAAGTGCACCTATATATTAAGTGGAGCTGATAAAATGGACAATGAGCGTAGAAACAAGGTCATAATGTTATGCCTGATTGGTGTATATATGTTGTTATTAATGTTATTAAATGTTGTGACATGTTGTTCTCTGTCAGTTAAAAGGGTATGTGCAAGTGTTATGGGTGTTGTTCTATGTCAGGATGTGTGGGTGTTTGTGTGTAGGGGGGCCAGCAATAGCATGAATCCTGTGGTTAATGGTGCCTCGAGACTGGTGGTCTGTATGTGCCTTTCTGCTGGTGTTTAGTAAAAGAGAACTTCTTGCAGCAGAATCATGGTCTCTCTTACTTGCGCTGACACTACAGTATTACTAATCTATGAACATCTGCTTTAAAGCAGGCATTCTTCTGTGTGTTCAATCATCCACAATGACATTTACCACAGACTTCTATTATGAGCACTCTCCCCCCTCTCAGTGACTGATGTAATAGTCAATCTAGCCACTCATATGTTAGTGGGAGGATTCATACTAAAGGTATAAAAAGACATGCCAGAAGACCAAATCTCCAAGTTGGTTATTATTGTTACAATTACTTCAGTCAGTTCCAGTTGATAAACCTGCTGATGATTCAGATGGATGACGCACCCTTTACAGTTCAATACTGCTTTCCTGACAACAACTCATCTTGCAGAAAGGAGGTCCAAACAGGCCCTGGGAATTTATTGTTGTATATTTTTCTCTCAATTGTATCTGTGTTCACTGTGATTCTGAATCTGCTGGTGATCATCTCCATCTCTCACTTCAAGGAGCTCCACACTCCAACCAACCTGCTTATCCTCTCTCTGGCTGTGGCAGATCTTCTCGTGGGATTAATTGTTATGCCTGTGAACATAATGCAACTGATAGACTCCTGCTGGTATCTTGGAAAAATGGCATGCTCTATTTATCCAGTGATTCATTTTGTTTCAGGGTCAGGATCTCTCTTAAGCCTAGTTTTTATTGCAGTTGATCGGTACATTGCTGTCTGTGACCCTCTACATTATGCCGCTAGAATCACAGTTGGTAAAACTCTTTTCTTTATAATTCTAGGCTGGTCTTTCTGTCTATTCTATGTCATCATCTATTTATACTTTAACGAGCATCTTCTTCAAACTCAAATAATCACTAGATGCTACGGAGAGTGTGTTCTGATCATAAAATACTCCTGGGTGATTGTTGACATTGTCCTTTTTTTTCTAGCCCCCTGTTGCCTTATACTGGCCTTGTATTCAGCAATCTTTATCATAGCAAGACGTCAGGCTAAAGCTGTTAGTGCTGTGAGAAATAGAGCCTCACAGACAAATGGCACTAAATTCTCAAGCTCTTCCGAAACCAAAGCAGCAAAGACGTTGGGTATTGTAATATTGGTTTATCTTGCTTGCTGGATACCATTTTATTTAAGTTCTCTGTCAGTTGAAAGTTTGACATCTTCATCAATGGTGTGGACTGTGTTTGGCTGGCTAGTATACTTGAACTCCTCTGTGAATCCACTAATATATGCTATTTTTTATCCATGGTTCAGAGCTTCAATTAAGAGTATTGTAACTTGTAGAATATTTGAATCCTCATCTTCACAGTTTAATTTGTTTCCAGAGAATTTTTAAGTGTCGACTTAATTCAACTGACTAAGCTGATGCCATTTCAAACTTATATGTCCTCTTTCAGTAGAGAGTGTAGTATATCATTTAATGCTGAATTTATTTTGCTGGTTTTTATTCGCAGATTTGTATGTGAATTGCCAATATATTTACACATATGCCTGTTTAACTTCTTGTACATCTAAATCCTATGTTTCCTGAATCAGTTCAGTAATTTATCATAATCATATATCATATTTACACCATACCACTGCTTCCCCTTATGGACCCAGAGGCCCACTTATCTGGACATTTTAGCATTTTTCCTGTGTCAGTGCACCCTAGTATGCACACCCTGAGAGCATACTAAAATATGCAGGCAGTATCAGCAGAGTTAGGAAACACTGTACTATTCTCTTCTGTAATAATACTTTGATCATCCATTTTTCTGGTATCTTCAGCAAACCCACTGTTTTTGTTGTGAGGCCTCTATGATACTACATATACATAAAAAAAGTTCTGTACTGCAAATGAGGTTTGTCTTTCATATTTGCCACCAAACTAAGTTATATTCCCTCTAAATACTTAGGTCTGTGTTTTTTTTTGGGGGTTTTTTTTTGTTTTTTTTTGTTTTTTTTCCCAGTCTGTATTATATTTCTGCACTTACATACACCCAGATTTGGAATAAATCAAGCTGCTCTCAGTCATCTGTTGAAGAAAGGATATCTGTCAACAAGATTTTAAACTTAGCCAGTGTCATAATACGCAATAGGAGTCACTGGAGCCATGATGTCTACCCTAAAAGCCCTCAGGCTCTATAGTACCAGTTGTGAGCTGTAAATAGTTTCTTTTGTCACACATCATTACAAGCCCAATTCTAAAAAAAGTTGAAATATTATTTGAAATGGCAACAAAAACAAAACATTGATTTAGCAAGTTCTGTTTGGCCTCTAATACACTGAAAACAGTACAAAACATGATATTTATTGTCTTTCTCTATAAACTTTATTGTCTAACAGGGGCATGTTTACCACAGTATTACATCACCTTTTCTTATATTATATTTATTTTTTTGACATTCTTAGTTTTGCAAATCTTTAGCTGCAACACTGTATAGAGATTGTCATATTTTGCACTTCAAAATGATCACAGCTTTTTATTTAGAGGTACTCAGGCCAGTCTAGCACCCGCTAGACTTCTGTTTATGCAGCAATGCTGTTGTAGCACATGCAGAGTTGCACTAGACCCTGGCATTTGATCTTTATGTTGGTAACAATCTAGGCCCTGAAAACAGGTCGTCCACTATTTCCATGATCAACCTAATAGGCTGATACACAAACCACATGTTTCCACCGTGAATCAGTCCATCTCAGATGAGTTCAAGCCCAGAGAAGTTAGCAGGATTTCTGGATGTTGTTGACATATGACTTCTGCTGTGCATAGTGCAGTCTTAACTTGCATTTAGGGATGCACAGAGTTTGACAACCATTTGTCTAAGCACATCCAAGCACATGTGCTGATTTCCATCAAAGAAGTATGTCTGTTTTTAATGTAGCACCACCTGAGGGGTCAAAGGTCACAGGAATTTAGTTGTGAATGTGAGCGGATAGCTTGGGGTTTGTTTATTATAAACTGTTATTATTAGTGAGGCAGGGCAGGGCATGAAATGCAAATAAAAACAGAAGCACTGATTTATAAATCAACTTTGATGAAAACAGTACAGGATATGTAATCAAATTACCAACTTATTTTTTTTTTCTAAATATACACTCAGAAAACTGAAACTGATGCATGCAACACATTGCAAAAAAGTTGGAACAGTGGTAAATAAAGATTAGAACTGTTATGAAAGGTTTTTTAAAAAGAAATCTGCAAATTTAACCGATTAAAAGAACTTTCCATAGACAATTATGCAGTTCATATTTAACAGATTAAGTATTTCACTCTGTACAGTGCATAACATCAATGGATTAAAGGAAACCAGAGAAATTTGTGTATAAAGGAAAAGGCAGACAACCACCAATGAATGGCCATGACCTTTAACCTTTCAGACAGCACTGCATGAAAAAAACTGGTGTGCTTCTGTGGTGGACAAACAAACAAACATGGAGCTAAAGCTTTAAGTTCTTTTGAATGCAAAGCAGCAAAGAGAATGGGAATTATAATTAATTTATATTGCTTACTGGATACTATTTTATTTAAGTTCTCTGTCAGTTGAAACCTTGACATTTTCTTTATTGATGTGGAATGCATTCAGCTGGCTATTATACAACCCCAATTCCAAAAAAGTTGTAATTCTGTGTAAAATGTAAATAAATGTAAATAAAAACAGAATGCAATGATTTGCGAATCTCATAGACCCATATTTTATTCACAATAGAACATGGAACATGTATCAGATGTTGAAAGAGAGACATTTTACCATTTCAAGAAAAATATTAAACTTAGAACTTAATGGCAGCAATGCATCTCAAAAAAGTTGGGACAGGGGCAACAAAAGGCTGGAAAAGTAAGTGGTATTAATAAAAAAAAACAGCTGGATAAGCTATTTGCAACTAACTCACATGACTGGGTATAAAAGAGCATTTTAGAGAGGCAGAGTCTCTCAGAAGCAAAGATGGACAGAGGTTCACCAATCTGCGAAAAACTGCATCTAAAAATTGCGGAACAAGTTCAGAAAAATGTTTCTTAACGTAAAATTGCAAAGACTTTGGATATCCCACCATCTACAGTACATATCATCAAAAGATTCAGAGAATCTGGCGAAATCCCTGTATGCAAGGGACAAGGCCAACAGTCAATATTGGATGCTCATGATCTTCAGGCCCTCAGGCAGCACTGCATTGAAAACAGGTATGCTTCTGTACTGGAAATCACTGCATGGGCTCAGGAACACTTTCAGAAATCATTGTCTGTGAACACAGTTTGCCATGCAATCCACAAATGCAATCCATAAAGCTGTATCATGCAAAGAAGCCATATGTCAACATAATCCAGAAACGTCTCCGTCTTCTCTGGGCCAAAGCTCATTTAAAATGGACTGAGGCAAAATGGAAAACTGTTTTGTGGTCAGATGATTCAAAATTTGAAATTCTTTTTGGAATTGTTTGGAATCTTTTGGAACATGGACAACGTGTCCTGCAGACTCAAGAAAAGAAGGATCACCCGGCTTATCATCAGTGCACAGCTCAAAAGCCTGCATCTCTGATGGTATGGGGTTGCATTAATACCTATGGTGTGGGCAGCTTACACATCTGGAAAGGCACTATCAATGCTGAACAGTATGTAGAGGTTTTAGAACGACATATGCTCCCATCCAGACAGCTTCTCTTTCCGGGAAGGCCCTGCATATTTCAGTAAGACAATGCTCAACCACATACTGCATCCATCACAACAGCATGGCTTCCCAGAAGAAGAGTCCGGGTGCTGAACTGGCCTGCCTGCAGTCCAGACCTTTCACCAACAGAAAACATTTGGCACATCATGAAATGAAAAATCTGGCAAAGAAGACCCAGGACTGTTGAGCAGCTAGAATCCTACATCAGACAATAATGGGACAACATTCCTCTGACAATACTCCAGCAATTGGTCTCCTCACTTCCCAGATGTTTACAGACTGTTGTCAAAAGAAGAGGGGATGCTACACAATGGTAGACATGGCCCTGTCCCAACTTTTCTGAGATGCATTGCTGCCATCATTTTTTAAATGAGTTAATGTTTTTCATGAAATGGTAAAATGTCTCACTTTCAACATATTTACATTTATTTACATTATACAGCATCCTAATGTTTAATTGGGGTTGTATAATTAGTACTAAGATTCATATGTAACAATTGAAGTAAATGTGAAATAATTTTATTGCGCAAAATAGTTTCTTCTTTTATGAAGAAGCCTGCCTCAGCCATTGAGGTTACATTAAAGGGCCCCCATTTGCATGTTTTACATTGTCTGTACATTAGCTGAATTATTTGTAGCATACCTGTGAAATTAAACCTTAGCAAAAATTCAAACTAGTATATTACCCACTACCTTTACCTGTCCTAGACATACTGTCTTTACAAATTTTGCTATTGGCATTTTTACTGCTGCTTAGGCCACCCAGGTGCTAGTGCAGTCTCTTGTCATCTCAAGGCTTGACTACTGCAACTTGCTCTTGGCTGGTCTTCCAATGCAGGCCATCAGGCCTCTGCAACTCATCCAGAATGCAGCAGCACGACTCGTCTTCAATCTCCCAAAGTTCAGCCACGTCACCCCACTGCTGCGTTCCCTTCACTGGCTTCCTGTAGTTGCACGCATCAGATTTAAAACCCTTATGCTTGCCTACAAAGCCAAAAATGGACCAGCCCCTCCATACTTGATGGCAATGGTCAAATCTCAAACTGTACCACGAGCCCTTCGAGCTTTGAGTACAGCTCGGCTTGACCCGCCATCCTTCAAGACTGTTCTCTGTGCTGGCACCCAGGTGGTGGAACGAACTCCCACTGGCTGTCCGAACAGCAGAGTCTCTCGCTGTCTTCAAATGCAGACTGAAGACACATCTGTTTATACAGCACTTAAATGAGCACTGAATTAAGTAGTGATTGTAATGTATTGTACAGCACTTATGTATTGTATTGTATTGCACTGCTCTGTGTTTAACTCTGTTCCTTTTTCACTAGGTGTCAATGACTTTCTGATTCTAGCAGTATCTGAGCTTAGGACTGGCTTTCTCTCTAACCTATTGGTAACTAGCAAAGATTCTTTCTCTGGATAGACAAAGCACTTTGTGTAAGTCGCTCTGGATAAGAGCGTCTGCTAAATGATGTAAATGTAAATGTAATGTAATGCTTATAAACCCACCCCGTGAACATATTCTGTTTGCATGCGCCAGCTCTGTGATATCAGTCATATACATTGTCCTCATTGTCGATACTGACACTGCATGCCACAGTTCCAAACAATAACCAAATAAATAAATAAATAAAAATTACAGGTAGTACAAGACAGACTAGCATTAGATTAATAAAGTGGGTTCAATCTACTTACC